CAACAGAGTTTGAGTTTTAAGCTCCAATTCTAGGAGGGTGCAGAAAGTCAGGTTTATATGTTGAGCTTTTGTGTGTGAAGCCTGACTGTGGCAAGTTAATATATTGGTATATTGAGAGATCATATGAGTGGACTGCAAAGCATGTTCCAAAAGTGCAGTCTGCATAGGATGGCTTTTTTAGAATTTCAGAGAAAATACAGAATCATAGAATCATTTTTGTTGGAAGAGACCTTTAGAATCATCAGGTCCAGATGTTCACCCAGCTAAACCATGTCCCTCAGCACCACAGCTCTAAGATCCTCCAGGGATGGGGACTCCACCACTGCCCTGGACAGCTTGGGACAGGCCTTGACAACCCTTTCAGGGAAGACATTTTTCCTCATGTCAAACTTAAACCTCTCTTGGCACAACTTGAGGCCATTTTCTTTTGTCCTGTAGCTTATTCCTTGGGAGAGTGAGTTAGAATTGTACAGTCATAGAATGGTTTGGTTTGGAAGGGACCTTAAAGACCATCTAGTTCCAACCCCCCTGTTGTGGGCAGGGACATCTCTCACTTGACCGCGTTGTTCAAAGCCTCATCCAACCTGGTCCTGAGCACCTCCAGTGATAGAGCATGCACAGCTTCCCTGGGCAACCTGTGTCAGTGTCTCACCATCCTCATAGTGAAGAGCTTCTTAATTTCTCATATAAATTTCCCCTCTTCCAGTGTGAAGCCCTTACCCCTCATCCTATTGCTACAAGCCCTTGTAAAAAGTCCCTGCTGAGCTTTTTTGTAGGCCCTCTTCAGATACTGAAGGGCTGCAGTGAGGTGAGCAGTGAGCCTTCTCTCCTCCAGGGAGATCAACCCCAAACGCAGATATTTTCTCAAAAAATAATATTTGTATATTAGTTTGCTTTTGGAAGCTTGTACAGCAAATGACCTGCATTTCATGATTTTTTGATGTATTTCAAGTGTTTGTGCTGTGTTCAATATATATTATGTCTCAAAACACTACAGGAGGATGAATTAAGATCTGTTTATTCTAGTGCAATGGCCATCACTTTACCTTGTTGGAGAGAAGTATCTGTGACAAATTAAAATCAGTTTAGCTAAAAAATATTTCTGTGTTGGAACTGTGTTTTGGATAACTGTGCTGTGTGTGAAAGCAGCATAACATCAGGAGAAGAGTAACTTAACATGCTTTGCAGTTGATGAAGGCTGTGCACAACTTATTCCATGGTAAAATAGTTGGTCCTCCATAAGGTAGGTCAGTAACTACAGCAGTAGTATCTTGCACTCCTAAGAAAAGCTAAACCTCACCTTCACTAACGCAACAGAATCCTTTATCTTTTAGAATTTCAGTTAATGTATTCTGTTTAAGCTCTTGTGGGTTCTTGGTTTTGAGTAAGTTTTTGATTTTTTTACATGAAATTTCATATTTCACTGAGCCTGTGTGCATAAAGGATTGAGATTATCCTATAAAGCAGCTAGATCCCAGAGTTTTTCACATACTCCCTGTGGTGCTTAACATTGTCTGCAAATGCGATTAACTTGAATATTGCAGTTTTGAGGTTTTATTCTTCATCTCCTTCCTTGTTATAGTGGCAAAATTTGGTTTCTGCTCTTCCAGTTCTTCAGCTCTTCTTGGGCAAAGGTGATTTGAAAGCTGTAGGTAGTGCTCCAAAAGGCTGTGACCTGCTGAAGGTTGCGCATGATGCTGTATCGATTTAGAGATTACGTTTTATCCTGATGTAGCAGGGACTTCAGTGAGTTCCTCGACCTGTCGAGTCGAGTGCTGTCAGCTTCGAGAGTGTCACAGAGGTGAGAGGAAGGTGTCTGGCAGGTAGACATTTAGCCTGCTGGGTTGACTGGCCCTGACTAAGATAACATCTGGTGATCCTACCATTGGCTTTGCAGCTGTGATGAAGGTTTTGTGTCATTATGGTGTTCCCCTTACATCCTGGCCTCGCAGTTCTGCCCGCTGGCATTGTGTTAGGAGAGCCAGAGCAGATCGGCCAGCAGAGACCTTTCAAGAAGCTACGTGCTTATTCTGTTTTTTCCGTCCTCGCTGTAGGAGCGCTGCAGGGAATCACTTATGGGGCTGGGATTTCCTGCTGCTTGGTACACCCTGGGGGACTCTGCTGCTCTACCTGCTGGTGCCCGTTGCCATTTCCCAGCTCGCACTGCTCGGCCCCGGCGGGGGCAGCAGCGGCAGCCCCGTGTGCCATCGCTCCGTCGTTTCCCCGCTGCCGGGGGGGGTGGCCGGGAGCCCAGGCAGCGCGGCGGTGGCCACCCAGGCATTCAAGTGCTGCTCATACTGCTTTGTGTCGCCCTGCGTGCTGTCTGAGGTAACCATCCCACAAAAGTAAGCCAGCTGAGAAACCAGTGTGCCTATCAGCAAAATAACCCCTGAGGGAAGAAAAAATTCACCTTGGAAAGTCCAGAGGCACTGTCATAGTTTGGTGGCACTGTGTTGCTCAACCCTCAGCGCTGGGCTCCTGTTTGCTTGCAGAATATGGAGATAATTAAGGTGCAGTTTTATTCATTGTAATACACGTCAAGTGGTAGGTGCTGTGAGCAGTTTGCTGCATGGTTCTACGTCGTGTGTAGAATAAGTTGTGTTATTCTATGTACATGTGAAGGAAGAGGAGAGGTGGAAGGGCTGAGCGGGGACAGGGGGCTGTCTGCTGGCGTGAGCGAGGCACGGGCGCGCTTCTGACTGTTCTGACAGGGTTTGGAGTCTCAGATGGATAGTTATTTGCTTTATGGCGTGGCAGTTGAAGTCATTGGGACTCGACGCTTGGCTAAAAGCAATCAAATATGATTTCTAAGCTCTATTTTCTGACCCTGTGTCTAAATGTCTGGTGCAGCACACTATAGAAGTGAGATAAGCCCATTGCCTTTCCCAGGGGCAAGATAAGAACCTCCTCATCTCATTTGGTCCATCATTATAATTTGAGTCTAAAATATTAGGCCTTAGCTTTTTCTCATGCTCAGAATCAAAACTGTACGATTATGTAGAAGAAATGGGACGTGCAGGATTAATCATAGTGCTGGCAGAGAAATGAACCAGCAGGGTGCCCAGGTGGCCAAGAAGGCAAACAGACAGAATCCTGGCCTGTATCAAAAATAGCATGTCCAGCAGGAGTAGGGCAGTGATCGTGGCCCTGGACTCAGCATTGGTGAGGCCACAGCTTGAGTTCTGGGTTCAGTTTTGGGCACCACAGTGTAAGAAAGACCTTGAGGTGCTGGAGCAGGTCCAGAGAAGGGTAACAAAGCTGCTGAGGCGTCTGGAGAACATATCTTCTGAGGAGGGCCTGAGGGGCCTGGGATTCTCTAGCCTGCAGAAGAGGAGACCTTGTTGCTTTCTACGGCTGCCTGAAAGGAGGTTTGAAAGAGGTGATTTATTTGGTCTGGCTGAGGTGGTTTTCCCATCGTGTACCATTTCCTCATGGTGCAGTGCTTTTGTGTTGGGAGTTAGAAGAGCGTTAGTAACACCCATGCTGTGACTACCACTGAGCAGTGCTCGCACAGTGCCAAGGCTCTCTCTAACATTCTCCCCCAGTGGGATGGGGGTGCAGGAGCCTGGAGGGAACATAACCAGGACAGCTGGCCTCAACTGACCAAAGGGATATTCCATACAATGTGAAGGTCTGTTCAACTATAAAGCTAGTACAAAGGAGCTTATTGGAGCAGGGGGGTTACTCCTTGGTCCTCTGGAGCAACCGCTATGAGTTTTGGAGCCCTGCTTCTCAGGAAGGGGCCAGACATCACCTGCTGATGGGAAGGAGAGAATGTATCTTTAGGTTTTTTCTCTTTGCTTCCATGCGTGGCCTTGCTTGGCTTTGTTTTTCCTTTAAACTGCCTCTGTTTTTACTTGCAAGGGTTTTGTCTCCACCTTCTTTTCTTTCCCCCTTTTGCTCTGTGGAGGAGGGAGAGGAAAGGGGGAGCGTGATAGAGCAGCTTGGTGGGCACCTGGTGCTCAGCCAGGGTTAACACACCACAGGTGGGGGTTGGTCTCTTCTCCCAAGTAACTACTGACAGGACAAGAGGTAATGGGCTGAAGTTGCATGAGGGGAGGTTTTGATTTGGAGGCTGTGAGGAAGAATTTATTTCCTGCAAGAGTGGTGAAGGCATTGGACCAGGCTGCCCACGGAGGTGGTGGAGTCTCCATCCCTGGAGGGGTTCATAAAACATGTGGACATCGCACTTCAGGACATGGTTTAGTGGTCATGGTAGAGTTGGGTTGGCAGTTGGACTTGATGATCTTAGAGGTCTTCTCCAGCCCTAACAATCTGATGATTCTGTAGTGTAGAGGCAACAAAGCGCAGCAGCATGGTCTCGGTTGTGTGTACCACCGGGCTCAGAGGTGCCCCCAGAAGCTCAGCCTCTCAGGTAGGTGCCGTCGTGTGGACGTGTGATACGTGCCTCTCATGTCCACGATGGGACCGGTTGTGCTTCCTTGGGGCGTGCTGGTGTGGGCAGAGCTGCTGCTTCCCTGCCGCTCGGCTGCCCCCGCGCACGCCTGAGGAGCTCCAGCGCTGCTCTCCAGCTCCACGCGGCGAGGGCTGGGAGTGCAAGACCTGGCTGGTAGAACTACGGGCAGTAACGGGGCTGTCACTTCGGAGAGCTCAGAGAGGGACAGGAACTTTCAGTAATTAAATGCGGTCCTCTTGTTACGTTTGAGGCACATTAAGTGTCTTATTCCCCCACCCCCTCTTTACAGGAAGTGTTACACATTCTAGTCCTCAGAGTAAACTTAGTTTTCTTTGTTAGTACCTTAAAATAACTCGCCTGCAATCTTAGGTAAGCAGTTTTTCTCTGCTTCGTGATGTTTTTACGCCTATTACCCTTCATTTAAATTGTATCCTTGTTGTACAGCAATTAGAAATTACTGCATATTTAACAGGTGTTCAAGTTTCCCCTCTACTTCCTCTACCCCCACCGAGTTGCCTTACAAAAAAACTATTAAACTACACCGCTGAACCACACGTGCTGACATTCTGGTTTTGAATTGCAGCTCACTGCTGTAGATGCGGACGAGGGACCCAATGGACAGATAGTGTATGAAATTTTGGCTGGGGATCAGGGAGACTTCATCATCAATGACCGAACAGGCCTTATCACCATTGCTCCAGGAGTTGTGTTGGCAGTGGGGCGATCCTACGCTCTCACTGTCAAAGCCTCCGATAGCGCTCCTCCTGCGCAGAGAAGGTAACTCGTCTTCTAATGACACTCGTGTTTTCTTCGGTGCTTAGCGGCGCGTGAGAGGCGTGGCACACCCTTCTGTCTTTTGGGGAAGTGTGGTATTAGAACTCTTTCACTTTTTGAGCGTTATTTGTATTTTTTGTTACGGTCCGCAGTGGCTGTTATTTCATTAGCTTGTAACAGTCTGTTTTTTCCAAGTTTAGATGTTGTGCTGTCGTTGTGCATGCCTATCTGTCAAGAGAAACTGAAGCGGAGGGACGTAAGGAGGAGAACAAGTGAGAAGGGAGATGCTCTTTGTTAAGGATGCAGCTTGTTGTGATAAAGAAGAAAGGATCAGACGTAGTCTGGTTACTGATCTGGAGACCTTCTGTCCAGGTTATAGGGTGGGCAAGGTCATTGAGGCTTGGTGTGCTGTGGATAGTGGTGAGCAGTGTTCCCACCAAGACCTAAAGTCTCACCGACAGAATAATTTCTGCTCTCCACCAGCTGATAAAGAAGTGCAGCCTGCTAATCTAGTAGGGTTGGAATAGAGCATTTTCATGTTCCAAAAGCTAAAGTTACCGAGTCCCACTTAACCTGATTCTTTTGAGTTTGCATTCTGCATGTGGCAATCATGCACAAATGTCATTTCATGAAGGGGGGAGGGGGTGTTATGGCCTGGGGGTTGTGGGCCTAGTCTTGATAATGTGACAATCTCAGTGTCCAAAGAGGATGACGGAGTGCAACAGTAGTTTTTAGCATTTAAGTCTCCCACAACCTCTTCTCTTTTCCTCAGCTGGAGAATGTAAGAAGCAAAGGTAACACAAAAGTGGAATTTCACTCACTGGCTTTTCTTCAGGGCCTGTTGTTTCTGTCACGTCTCTAAGGAAGCAGCTCATACAGCTGTGAACATATTTTATCGTTGCATTTTCCAATCACAGAAGCACTCAGGTTGTTACATTGTTCATAAAATGAATCTCTGGTAACGTGGGCTTCTGGCTGAATTTCTTCTCCTTTCTCGCCTGCCCTCTTGATAAGCCCTCTTGTAGGATAGCTGACAGTAGGCTGTTAGAAGAGCTGAGGAGAAGATTGTGGGCTATTATGCACTTACTTTTGTGTAGTACTAGCATAGTACTGAAGTGGAGGACAGAAATCAATAATTGCACTTCAGAGAGCTTCAGAATCCGGTGGTGTGGCCCCAGCAACAGTAGCCCCTACAATAGAGCTTTGATTGCCATCAGCTCCTTTCATGTTTGAGAAATCTTTATATTGTCTAAAAAGATAGAACTTGTGATGTACGTTGGGCGCGTGTTCTTCCTCCTCTGGAAATGTCTTTATTGCAAGAATCTTCAAAGCAGAAAAGCTCTCCTTTCTTGGCACTTGTGCTTGGCTCCCCTTGTATGGCATTGCAGCATCTATAATTTGCTTCATAGCTTTTAATGTGTGTTCAAAAACCTGCCCTGTCTAGACAGTATTCCCATAGGTGGGTGGCCCCAGGGCCAGCCTGGCCTTGACCCTGAGGTATATTTGGGGCCCAGAGCTGTTTTTAGTGTCTGCGAAGGTTAAAAAAATCAAGGGGAAGGCCACCAGGGCTTCAGTGAGGTGCTGTGGAGAAAGAAGGTGGGCAACTCCTACAGTCTGGTAAGGGACACTTGGATAGAAGATTTCACTGCCTTCCTGATGCTCTTTCTGTGAGGCTGGAAAACCAGAAATGTTTGAAGCAGCTTCTTGTCATTTTACACAGAGAAAAGTCAGGGAGAGCTCATGTAAGCTGCAGCTCCCAGGTCATCGAACCTGTCTTTTTGCATCTTTGTTCTGTCTGGCTGTGTGCTGATCAGTATCTCACGCTTGGGGTTGTACAAACTTCTTGCTGCTCCTCATGCAAATCTGCCATGTTGTGTGAGGTTATTGATGTTACCTTGTTGGAGGATGTAACTGGTATTTGAGAATTCTAGGAATGGGCCAAGTCTAGCCAGCCTTACATGTCTGTGAAGGCGGGGGAGGGTGTGTCCTGTAAAAGAAAGAAATAAAGCATTTGGATGTAATTTCAAGTATGAAGACTTTTTTCCCAAATCTGGATTCTGCTGCAGGACATGGTAGCCTAACTGCTGTCGGGTGTAAACTGGCTGGGTTTTGGCTCTCCCATCGCTTCTGCACAAGACAAGGGCAAACTACAAAACCTGGCCCAGAAACTGTAGCTCTGTGGCCTTTGTGAACACAAATTGAAGTTGAAATGCGTTCTTGTGTAGCTTTTTTGCATCGTATGACACACAAAATTCTTGGCATGTGACCGTGCATAAAAGCAGAGAATTTTTTTTTAGTACTGTTAAAGTTTCTATCTATAGCAAATGTCATTATGTGGGTTCTTGAGGGTATGTTTAAGTACACTTAAGTACGTCAAGTATATTTAAGTTTATATACGGTGTTCAAGTTTAAAGATTAAGTTTATCTTTTTCGAACTGAATTGATGGTTAAGCATATAGTGATCAGCAGTGTCTCCTACTGAAAAAAATGAGATCATCTATAACATCTATAACATCTATAATGAAACCATTTCATTTCAGACCTTAGCTTTTTCACCGCTGACCTCAGACTGATGTACAGTTGGAAGTGTCTCGCTTGGTGCTCACGGTGATCTGCCACATCCAGTCTAGAACCTACCAGATCATGAGATGATTATTCCACTTTCTCTTTGATTTGCATAAGCAGAGGTTATGTTGCTCCATAGGTATAGAAATATTTTTATTATACATTACATAATATAGTTTTATGTGGAAAGCACACTGAATTAAAGCCAAGCCAGGGATGCAGTCCCAGTGGCTCACTGACCTTCCTCGAGTGTTACCATTTACCTAGGGTAGCATAAAAAACATATTTCTGTCCTCGGGTGGGGGGGGTTGTGAACACTGCTGAGTTCACAAAATCATAAGATGGTTTGAGTCAGAAAGGACCTTAAAGACCATTTAGTTCCAATCCCCCTTGCCATGGACAGGGACACCTCCCACTGTACCAGGTTGCTCAAGAGCTGTCTAACCTGGTCTTGAAAACCTCCAGTGACGGAGCATCCACAATTTCCCTGGGACAGTTGTACCAGTGTCTCACCTCGCTCATAGTGAAGAACTTCATGATTTCTGATGTAAATCTCCCCTCTTTATTTTGAAGCCTTTCCCACTCGTCCTATCACTACAAGCCATCTTAAAAAGTCCCTCAAAGCTTTCTTGTAGGCCCCCTTTAAATACTGGAAAGCAGCAAGAAGATGTGCCTGGAGCCTTCTCTTCTCCAGGCTGTACAAGCCAAACTCTCTCCTGCTGGCCTCCCAGCAGAGGGGTTCCAGCCCTTGAATCACTTCTGTGTTCTCCTCTGGCCCCGCTCCAGCAGGTCCCTGTCTCTGCTGTGCTGAGGACTCCAGAGCTGCCCCAGCACTGCAGGGGGGTCTCCCCAGAGCAGAGCAGAGGGGCAGGATCCCCTCCCTGCCTTGCTGCCCATGCTGCTGGGGTGCACTCGCAGCACTTCCTGAGCAATGTTCTGCTCTTGGTGTATTCACCTTTCCCTGCAGTATCTGGACACCAGCTGTGGTTGTTGGAAGGATCAGCTCCATCTCCTTTCCGATGCCAGAGCAGATTTTGCCAGCCACTTAAATGCACTGTGTTTAGCACACTCAAAATTAATGGGTTAAAATTGCAATAAAGGATTGAAAATTAAAAAAAAAAAAGTAGCTGTTTAATATGATAGTGACTTCCATTTGCAGACTGCTGGTGCTTTGCTCTTGTGGTCTTATCTTAAAGACTGGAAGATTTGCTTACTGTTGTGGTGACTAGAAACCACAACAGTGATTTTATTTTATTTTATTTTTTTTTTTTTTAGAGCTTGATAGACAATAAATCAGCTTGGGTATTATTAAGATGTAGCAGGATCAGGGAAAAAAAAATGGTACAGAACAAGATATTTTTATTAAAACCTTAGCAGTGGAAGACAAATGCCCACTAAAGCACAACTATTTGGTTGTGTATATCATACCCAGACAGCAGCTATCCCAAGAAAATATGCAGCCTCAGTGCTCAAGTGATATTTTGTCTGCTAATTCATTGTGTCTGTTGCTGAGCATTTGATGATGTTTTTCTTTTTTTTCACTCTAACACTGTAAGTGTGGAACATCCATTCAGAAAGATAAGTGGGATATGGGGGAGTGCTTTAAAACAGACCAGAGAAAAGGAAGCTGACTGTAGTTTGTGAGGAGGTAATCTGCAGTGAATGGTCCACTTCAGTTACAATTGTCTATCTTCTCCTTATTACACAGGGTTTGTTTATATCTATTGAGTCAGTAATCTGCAAATTCAGCTTTTTAAATGTCTAAGGATTTGGCAGATAGGAAGGCTCCATCTCTACATGATGCACTTTGGTACAGGTTTGGCACTTGTTTAAAGTTTGATTAAATCAAATAAGGACTTGGCTGTTGGGTTTAAAGTAGTAAGATTCTCATCCCCTCAATTTGTAGGTGGATGTGGATCCATCATGTGCTCCAGAGAGAGAGAGAATCGTGGAATGGTTTGGGTGAGAAGAGACCTTGAAAAGTCATCTAGTCCAAACCCCCTGCAGGGAGCAGGGACAGCTTCAACTAGAGCAGGCTGCTCAGAGCCCCATCCAACCTCACCTGGAATGATTCCAGTGATGGGGCATCAACCACCTCTCTGGGCAAGCTGTTAACAGCGTGTATCACTGTCCATGGGAAGCTCAAGATTGCCCTGGACTAGCTGGTGGCCAGGGTTTTGGGGCACAGATGGATGCTTGCCAGGCTGTCATGACTTGGGCAGCAGTGGAGAAGTTAAAAATTTATGGCTCACTAGAGTAAATTTGTATATATTGTTAGTATATAGGTGGTGGGTTGACCTTGGCCAGCTGCTGGATACCCTCCCAGCCACACTGTCACTCTCTCTACTCAGCAGAACAGGGCAGAAAGTAAGGTGAGAAAGCTCGTGGGTTGAGATAAAAGCAGGCAGGGAAGTCACTTACCAGTTATTCTCTCAAGGCAAACCAGACTCAACTTGGGGAAAATTAGTTTAACTTATTGCCAATGAAAATGGGATGGTGAGAAATAAAGGTAAAAACTAAAACATCAACTTCCAACAGCTCGGCTTGTTTCCCAGGCTCAACTTCACTCCTTCGTTCCCAACTCCTCTACCTCTGAATGGCATAGAGGTTGGGGAATGGGGGGGAAGGTCAGTTCCCAAGAGCCTTTCTCTGCCATTCCTTCCTACCCACACCGTTCTCTGCCCCACCACAGTCTTCCCACAGACTGCAAAGGAGTCTCTGCTCTGGCGCCTGGAGTTCCTCCTCATTCCTCACCAGTTCCTTGCAGTTTTTCCTCCTCATTCCCCTCCTTTCTGGAATTTTCCTCTTTCTTACATCCGTATCCCCAGAGGCACTGCCACTGGGGCTCAGGGGCTGCTGGAACCAGCCTTGCCCGTCCTGGGGCAGCCCCAGCTCCTCCTCACACAGACCCCTCAGCTCCATTGCTGCCCACGGGCCTCCCATGCCCTACAACTGCCGAGCGCGTCTGTCTCCTTCCAGCAGCGAAGCAGCTCTCGGTGCGTGCTCTGAGCTGGCTGAAACTCATGGTGGAGCTGTGGAAGGTGCTTGGTTCCATCCTCCCTCGAGGTCTGTGGGACATGGGCTGCACACGTGGCCGTGCCTCTAGGGCTGGAGCTCCTTCTGCAGCACTTACCTATGCATGAGGTCAGTCTTTCTAGACCAGTTGTGTTCTTGGTTCCCCATCTTGGAGCGTGGTCTATGACACGGCCCCTGTAACACAGCTCTCTGTCAGGGTCTACCCAGCTCCAGGCAGTGGAAAGCATCTGTGACACAGAGGTGACCATGCTGGATCAGACTCCTCTACAGCTAATTAAAGATCTCCATCAGTGATGTGTTATTTTGGTATTTAATCAGCTCTACCAGTTAACGCAGAAGATGTTTCAGCTGTAAGATATCAGGTAATTTGTGGTAGGATTCTCTAAAGATGCTCCACAATTGCTAGCCCTGCAAGAGGCATTTTCTTTCCTGCAGCTCTCAGGCCTGAGCTTGACCAACTTGGTCAAAGAGCTTGTGCAGAGGAAATCTGTGTCCACAGTGTGACACTTGGTACCTTCAGGATCCTGTGCTGGGGCTGGGGTACTGTGGCTTCTAACATGTAGGAGAGAAGGCAGGAGGGGTAACTGAGAAAAGATGAAAAGGGAGGGTCCTGTTAGGCCAGATCGTAAATCTCTCTTTCAACTTCAGGGCTACTTTTGGCTCCCTTTCTCAGTTCAGAGCAGTTGAATAGCAAGTCCTGTGAGGAGTGGCTGAGGGACCTGGGGTTGTTTAGTCTGAAGAAAAACAGGCTCAGGGGAGACCTTGCTTTTGACAACTCCCTGGAAGGAGGTTGGAGCGAGGTGGGGGTCGGTCTCTTCTCCCAAGGAACAATTGATAGCACAAGAAGAAATGGCTTCAAATTGCACCAGAGGAGGTTTAGGTTGGACATTAGGAAAAGCGTCTTCCTCAAAAGGGTTGTCAAGGCCTGGAGGAGGCTTCCCAGGCCAGTGGTTGAGTCACCATCCCTGAGGGCTTTAAAAGCCATGGAGATGTACTGAGGGACATGGTTTAGCAGTGGACGTGGTAGAGTTAGGTTAGTGGTTGGACTTGATGATCTTAAAGGTCTTTTCCAACCTAAATAATTCTATGATTCTCAGTATGTCTGCAGCATGGTCTTTGCCTGGTCTGTCGTGAGCGCCAGTGTCCTGGAAGAGCCTCCAGCCGGCACGCTGGAATGCTGTCTGCAGCAGGTTAGGGGTTTGGTGCCACTGCAGGGCTTGCCTGGTTTCCTTGGTGTGTTTTGCAGTCTCCTGTGTTGCCATGGCTCACTGGTGTGCAGCAGGCTTGGGTTTGCTGCTGTGAACCACGGGACTGACGCAGCCTGCTAGAGTTGTGTACATCAGTCTTCTCCCAGCATTACTCTCTTCGTCAACATTCTCTCTTCCCCCTCTTCCAAAGAGGATGCCAACAGCAGGGGCACCCCCAGGGTGGAGATACCATCACAGAATTTGTCATGATCTTCTAAAGGACCCAGTATCACCAGGGGATTCTGAGTCTTCTCTGTGTGTGGAGTGGGTGCAGATATCTTACTGCTTTGTTTTTGAAGGAATGCTTGGTCTACTTGTTAAGAAGCGACTTGGCTTTGCTTCTCTTCATGTGGCAGCCTGCTTTGGGTTTGGTGCAGAATGAAAAAATATATCCTGAAGCTTTCGAAGGAGCGAAGGGAGGTTGTTAGAGCTAGAGAACACAGTGTATAAAATAGACATTGTTGGCTGCCTTGTGTTTGTTGATTTATTGATCTTGACTGACTTTGACTTTTTTTTTTCTTTCTGTCATTGCAGGAGCTCTATTACTACTGTTTACATTGAGGTCCTTCCACCCAACAACCAGAGCCCTCCCCGCTTCCCCCAGCTGATGTACAGCCTTGAAGTCAGTGAGGCCATGAGAATTGGAGCCGTTTTGTTAAACCTGCAGGTACCAGATGCTTCCCTGGAAGCCTTTCCCCTGCTCCTTCTGGTCGTGCCCGTGCCCTGCAGAACCCAGTCCTTGCATACAGGTGGAAAGGAGAGTTTATGGGGATTCCAAATTATTTAGTGGTAATAAGTAGCTCCTTTTATATGGTCCATATAGAAAATATGCTTACTTGGATATTTCTGTAACTTCTTTTTGTGTTCAACATGCTAAAAGGTGCTATAGGCTGCAGACAGGGCTGAAGTATATGAGAAAGAAAAATCCATGAATTGCCCAAAACCTGAAAATCACAGGATTTCTTACATTAAAACGTCTCTATATATTTCCAGCTTCACTTATAAGTAGTGTTGCACTGGCTGAGCTTGCAGGCTCGAGTTGTTTCTCTGTGTGCTGCTGCATGGTTAGTATATCAGGTTTCTCCTATTTTTTACAACAGGAGAATAACAAATTCCCCAAATAAGAGCTTACAGAAATAACAAAAATACAAATAATGGCTTATTTACTGTTCCTGAAACTTTTGCTGCATTGTGTTCTGTCCCCATGTCTTGAAAGCCAGCTGGGCAAAACAGGTGGATGAATTACAGCTCTTTAGATGGCTTATTGGGGGATCAGGAAATTAATATTGCTATGAAATAATTATGGCCTTGAGCCTAAAGCAATAAACTCATTTCAGTGTGCTCTCCTGAGCGTGGTTCCTGTAAACATTGTAGCATTATCCAGGCTTCACATAAAGCCGTTCCAAAGAGGAAGACTTGGAGATACCCAAGCTAAAGAGAAACCCAAGAGAGCCACAGCCTGATGTGCTTGAGGCCAGCGTAGCTCCATCGAAGTCTGGTGACCTTGGTGGAATTAGGTCAGTTGACGCCAGCTGAAGCGTGTGGCTCTGTGTGTTTTACACATTCAGTAAATGAAGGGGAAAAAAGAATAATCCAAACCAAAGTGTGCGAAATAAAGGGACTCTAATTGAGTCACTGATGCAGGTGAATGGGTAAGTTTCTATTAAAACTGTTTGCTGGTGAAAGATGAAGATTATTATGGATGGTTAAGCTGATAGGAGTCACCTGCGCTGAGGGAAGATGACTCATTTAGCTCAGTGCTGAAAATGAACTTCTGGCATGTCTTCAATGCCTGCAGTGAGTTCTCAATTGAAGAGCTGTGCTGTTCAGGAGCCTTCTCTCCTCACTGGTGGGGAGATGCTCAGGTTTGGAAATGCCAGAGAGTAACAGGAGCCAGGAACATGCTGAGAAACAGCAACATTTGTGTCTGCTTGATGGGTTTTGGGATATATGGCTGAGGGCCTGGGTGATCCTGGGAGGCAGAAAAACTATAAGCAGGTTGTAGTAGTTAAGGATTTTATGCAGTTTAAACATGGTTAGTAAGTGAACCTCATTTGTGGAGTAATACATCTGCTTTTATGTGTTGCTAAACTCCAGATGTTTTAGCTAGATTTTGGGTTCCTTTTCAGATGAACCATGGTAAGGTATGCTGAAGAAGTCAAGGAGAGACAGCTTGTTCCAGACAGGGCAGGGGAGATGCAAAACAGCCGTGCCAGCTACTCTCTCCTAGCCAGGATGCTGGAGAGTGTTTTGGTGGTAGAGCAGTGGGTGTTGTGTTGTTACATGCCCAGGATTCCCAGAAGTAGCAAGTTACTGTGTTTGACAAAGAGTAAAGAGCTTTGGCAATGTGCAGAAAGCCTTGTCCTCTCATTGTTTCTGCAGTGTTGGCTGATCTTGCCATACCAGTGGCTTGAAGTCAGCTAGGCAATTTCCAGTGTTGCAGAGTACTCAGTTGTTATACCAGAACTGTGCGTGGCCTCATCTCTTGGGGATTAGTCAAAGACTGTATCTCCTGTGGGGCTGGTGGTCCTGGACCTGCGTTGTCCTTACAGGGCATGTTTGGCTGCCTCATCTGGCATTAATACGCCCATCTGTATTAAAGCACTTTTACTGTGTGGAGCATATTTCTGTCTTCATCTTTTTTTTATTTCCTGTATAAAATGGGCCAGGACACTTTCAACATTCATGAGCAGAGTATTTAAGCATAGGAAATCTTGTCCTGGCTTTTCCCGGCAAATGGAAAGTTACCTCTTACTCATCTTGGGGGTTTTGAAGAACTGTGACAATAGCTTAGGGTATTGCCTGTGTTCCATAGGTAATATGGAGTAGTACCACACCTCAAATATTTAACAAGGGTTTCATGTGTAAATTTTCACACTGACTTCTTCTGTGAGTACTCTAATATGTGAAATGTTTTGGACATAAGGTAGGTTTGGGTTGGTGCAGCAGGGTTATGCTTTTATGGCTCTCTCTCAGTAACATTTTGTGAGTGTTGCATACAGCAGGAGGATTACAAAACCTGGGAGAAGGCAAGCAAATTGTTTTAAATATTCCCAAATTAGCAGATCTGAAGATCTGCAAAACAGCAGTGTCAAATAACAATGCAAATGCAGCTGTTTTAAGTGTGCCTATTAGACTTTAAAATACTTGTTCTAAAAATAAAATTTACTTTCTCGTTTTCTATTAAAATTTTTCTGTAAATGATGCAAGTTTGGGTTTTTTTAATGCTATTTATTTATTTGATGATGTAGCCAGTTGGTTGTGACTGGTGTTTTAATTACCAACATTTAAGATTAAGTAATGCAATATTAAATGATCTCCACAGCGTTAATTTGCAAATAAAGCTGAGTTTATTGCATGTCTGGGAGGTGTTTATCGCTTCGTGTTCTGCCAGCCATTATTAATTAAAATGTGCAAATAGTGTAATTTTTCTGGGAGTCTGCAAAATAAATAGGATCTTTATCATGGTCCAGTTATGTGCTGGACAAGGAAGTGACACAAAGTTGTTGTGTACAATTGATGGAGTCACTGTGTACAACTGATCAGGAACACCTTAGGGATAGATGTCTCTTTTCTCATGTGCAAGTCTTGAGGAGCTTTCTAATGTATATAAGTTGCTGTTCTTTGGTTTCAAGCAAAACACAAGGTTCTTTAACACGATGATGTACTTTTTAGCCCTGATTTTTAAAGGATGTTGATTGAAAAGTAAGTTTTCTTTGGACATAAGGAGAAAATGGAATGGACTAGAACCAATCTTTTATTTTCTGTCTTTTTGAAAGTCTCCAAACTTGTTATGAATGAATGTAGACCATAAACAAACTTCGGAGATACCCTTAAATGAGAGTCAAGGGCAGGATCTGCTGCAGATGAGGCAGTAAAGCTACAAAGAACCACTGAAGATAGAAGCAATGATGTGATTCTGGTGGTGTAGAATCTATGGCAATATTCAGAGATGCCAACTAGTCAGGTTTTCTGCATCCAGGATTAGTATAGTTCTGTGTTCTTGGCTGACACTTTTTCACTTGTGACTTTACAGAGTCACAACCTGAGTGTTCTTACCTTCAGCAGAAGAATATCTGAATTCCACTCAAACCATCTAACGGGCTGGCACCTCCTGTCACTCCATGCCATCCGTGGATTTTATAAACAAATTTTCTATTCTGTCACCAATGTTAATGAAAATATTGATCAGTATTGGAAGAGCTATGCACACCTTTGCAGAACTGAGTCAATGCTAAATGCTATCTGCTGCTCTCTGACCTCAATTTTTATGATCAGCTTTATTCTTGCTTAATCTCATCTTCCCTTTGGAGACCACCTTGTCTAAACTCATTTGTGAAAATGCCACAGAAGGCAGCGTGAAGAGCCTCACGACAGCTAGGATGCATTATTACATCCACAGCTTTTTTCCCTATTTACGAGGCCTCTTGTCCTGTTGTAAAAGAAGATTAGATTGCTTTGACATACTTTGTTCTTGAGAAATTTAGCTTTGTGTGATCCATCTCCATATTGTCATCGTGGGTACTTACAAATAATTTGATTGTTTGTGGTTTTCTGGGAATTGAGCTCTACCTGTCTGGCCTGTGATTTCCTGGCTCGTTCCTCTGTGAAAGATGTACCTTGTGTTTGCCCTTCAGCACGTTTGTCCTCTGAGTTTTCAAAGAAAGCTGCTAATGGCTTTGAGATTGCTTCAGCCCATGTTTTTATACACTAGGATGAATTTCATCAGGCTTTAATTTCAGCAGATGATTTAAAGATACGCTGTTTATGTGCATATTCTCTGTCTTATTCTTTCCCTATTTTCATCTGAGATTTTACCCCTCTCTTGCCACAGTTAATTCTGTTTGCTGCTTGACTGCAGCTGAAATGCAAGAAGTTTTAGCTCTTCACCTTCTTGGCATCATCCTTTCTGCTTTTATACTGTGGCAATGTACCACGCTCCTCAAGTTTGCTCTGTAATTGAAACATTTATTTATTACCTTTTGTTTTCTGTTTCTATTACTGTTTTACTTTTATTTGTTTGGACTTTGTCCTCACATAGTTGTTCTTGGTTTTTTTTCTTTATACTGGTCACCTTCTGACGTGGCCACTATCTTCTATGTGCTTCCTTTGGTTAAGGACAAGCTGGTTTCTTACTAGGTTCCCAGTTCTGAGTGCAGACTGGAATAGTTTGCGCTTCTCCATCTTAATGTTGCGGGGATGCGTGTGTTGGATTTTTTTCTTGTATTTCTTCTTTTTGTCTTAAAAACAGCTTTTTACCTGATCAGCCCAAAGATACGCAGCCCTTGGCTGTAGTCTACAGCCAATGCAAGAAACAAGAAAAAGAAAAGTTGCTTAAATTTGGAAAAACACAAAAATCCTTTCTTTTTTTCCTCTTTCTCTTAAAATCTTTCTTTATTTTGACCTCTCTTCTAGTAAATCCTACCTGCTGTCCTCTGAACTTAGGTTTAAAAGAAGGTTTGCCTTCTTCCAATTCACATGGCAGTGTCTATTGTTTTCCCTGCCATAAAGTGCTTAATCACTTTGGATTTCAAATGCTAAATAGTTGAAACTGTGAGACAGTTTGGGAGGCAGTTCAGTACTTGTGGTTTTCTCTGAAGAGCACCAGATATTATTTCTGGGGAAAAGGTGTGTGTTCATGTGACAAAAATTAACAATTACAGGACATATTTATGACCATTTTTGGAAATAGATTAGCCAAAGCTTAACTGCAGAAGTAATTAACTTCTGAAAGCTTTTTTTTCTGTCACCTAGTAGATGGAATAGACTTGCTCTAGTGCCATAATAGACCTTACTGAAGGCCTCATCCTAATCTTCATCTCCCCCAAAGCAAATTATCATGGAGCTGGGTGCTGCAACATCTACACTGCTCACTGGAGCATCAGCAAAAGGAGTGGAACTCTGGTAAATTAGCAGAAAGAGGATTCTGGATAGGAAGTGGAAAGGGACACTAGGAACAAAGGAAACGGGAAACTCAGTCTAATGATTCTGGGGCTGCACAAAAATAAAAGTAATTGAATAAAGCCTGAATTTCATACTTGTGATGCTGTGTGTTTATGTGTAGGTGTAATTTGAAAGTCTGTAGTCAGAATATTGTCATTTCTGCGTAGCATAAGAATTCTGATGTGCTACAGCTTTATCTGAAGTAGCCCTGCTGTAATTATGTCTGTTGCCTTAGAAACAGAAAGATTGGTGTCATTCTTGTAGATAACTTTAATAGAAGTTCAGGGGTTAATTCTGCTGTTTATAAATGGAAGGAAAGAAAAGAAAACTTTGTAACTGACTCCCTTTTGTCCTCTTTTTTTCCTAAAGGCTTTTGATAGAGAGGGTGACCCTATAAGATACCTCATTCAGAATGGAGATCCTCAACACGTTTTTAATCTCTCTCAAAGGTAAGTGGAAAACTCTTAGAAAACAGACTTGTAACTTTTCAGTCAAGTGGAAATGTGGGCTGAGAGCAAAAGAAAAGACTTGTAATCAAACATATTCCACTGTTCCCTAGATTAGCTCTTAGACGTTAATGAGAGCTCTGTGAATGATACTGCACTCTGGAGTTTTTCACAGGGGACTATTTATTTATTTTAAACACTTTGGTAGGTAAAACTCACTGAGGTGGAAACACTCTATTTAAAAGAGTGGCCAAGGATTAATTAAAGACCTTATACTTGTCAACTCTTGACTAATGACAGGGACAATTTTTGCTTTAGTTTCCTGCCTTCAAGCATCTTAATCTGTAGTGGGAAGTCTTTTGATCATTGTTTTAAAATCTCTTTTTGCTTAACTTGAATGCCAGCTTAAATACTGAATTAGAAAGAGAGGGTTCACTACGAAATTAAAAACACAAGATAGCTCTGTGCCTCTCTCACCACCTAATAAAGAAGTTTATTTTACCCAAGCAGTTACTATTTACACTCTAAAGTGTCTTTTTTCTTTACAGGAAGAAGGGAGGGTGTTGAGCTGACCTCCTATGGTAGATGATGGGACAAAAGTAACCTGGGGCTTATTTGTTTATGGTGCATCCCAAGAGGTGCTGATTCTGTTAATAATAAAGACTTGTCAGGCAAGGAAAGGGACAGCTTAAAGGGAACTGTCTTGTTGAGGTGGCAAGAGCAGGGAGTGATGTTGGGCTGCTGGATTTACTCATTTTGTAGGGCTGGAGTTTTCAGTACAAGTCAGGGAAGGAGGGAGCCAGCTCAGAGGCAGTGCTGGCAGTTGTTGCTCCAGCACCACAAAGATTTGTAGGATTTTCTGCATAAGTAACCCCTGCAGTCCTCCCCTTAACGTAGAGGGACCTGCTCTGACCCACCCTGTGACCTCCTGAAGAGCTAGAATAATCAGGAGCATGCCTGGCTAACATGAGATGCTCTAGGGAGAGGTTACTCAGTGGGTAGTTGTTTTGTGTAGTTTGTGCTTATCACAGCACTGTGCCCACTGCACCATAAAAATCCTGATAACTCTGAATACCAGAGGGACTTCAAAAACGTGTGCACTTTCGGGCCAGTTCCTGGCCTGCCAAACCCATGACATGAAGGTATCTAGAAGATGGACCCAAGGCAGCTCCTATGTTGTCCAGCATTGGATGTAACTAGAAGTCAAGCTGCTGGAGGTGGCATGGGAATTCACAGCTGGGAATTCAGGCTGGGAACAAGTAAGAAATGTCTGCTGTGCTCTCTGGAGCCTGCAGGCACAGCACACTCCAAGGTGTCCATGTGCCTGTTGGGGCAGCTAGGGGGGTCCTTCTCCATCCCCCCTGGCCTCCAGGGCCCATTGTGAGCAGGCTGACACCCCCAGCCTCACATCCCCACGGCGTGTGTCTGAGCATCGCGGCGCAGTGAGGGTTTCAGCACAGACTTGGGCATGCTTGGCTTTGATCTGTTGCCTCTTGGTAAAAAGGAGAGCTCTTTGAAGTGTTTTCTCCTTTATGCTCTCCTTGCTTCTGTTTTCTTGGAAATTGTTTGTGCAAAGTTTTCTTCAGCCTTTCGCACATATTTTTTTTTTTTTTTTCTGGATGCTGAAATGTCCTCATAGGAGATTAAAGAAGAATTAATATTAAACAGAGTGTAGTTAATATGAGTGGCATATTAAGGCTACAGGAATTTCTCTCAATGTTACATAAATACATTTTTAGATGCTTTAAGGCCAAGGCAGAGGCTGTGAACATGATTCTCTCTCTGCCTTTTTCCCATCTGGATTTCTTCCTCGCATCCTGGAGCGTGTCAGTTAATCCCTGTGTAATTCCCTAACTGGCAGCATGAGTGCTGAGTATTGCCAGTTTTACATCTACCTACTAGATCTCTTTTATCCTTGGTCTAAGATTGTGAGATGCTTTTGTTCTTTCTCCCTTGTCAAGAAAACCTGAGCACAATCTGTAGTAATTCAGTACCTCCTTATGTTCCCCAGGGAAAAAAAGGTGTTTAAAAGCTGGGGAATTAAAGGAACGTGAGCAGGTCTGAATCCTTGAGTAAAACACATGAATTTTTATAAATTAGCCTCTCTCTTGAGCAATGTTCATCTATTGAAATGGAGCTTGTAGACTGCAGTTGTTCAGGCAGTAGAAAGGACAGTAAGAAGGCAATATGATGATGTGAAATTTAAATGGATACATGCAACTAAAGGTCAGTCATAGTAAAGAAGTATTTGTTGCCAATATTTTATCCTTGGCTCTGCTTGGAGATTTTGGTTTTTGGTGAATGAATACTTTACTACATGTGTTTTATGTTTTATTCACTGCTCCTTTCCTAAAAAATTCTTCTGTTCATATTTTATTGCAATGTCTTGAACACATGCTGAAAAATATATATGATCCATTGTGATAGCTAATTGATTTGCAGCCCCTGGAAATAAGATGATTATTAAAATACAGAGCATGGTTTAGCATTTTGTGTGAGTTGATATGCATCTGAGTGTTGCCTGCAACACTCAAAGGAGGTTAATGCCTTTCTCAGTAGCATCGTTATTCTTTCAATGTCTCCTGCTTGCAAATGATAAAAATTTTAGTTTAAAAGTTAAATGGTTGCTAGTAATACAACAATAATGTTAACTGAACTTGGCTGAATATTCCTTAGCAGAACACAGTAGATGAGACTGGAAGCAAAAAGGAGCTAGGCAGTTATTCATCACTTGTCACACACAAATGACAGGTTGCTGGGAAGCCCACCACTTTGACACTCTGTATGCAAAGCTCAGCATGAAAGTCTCATTCAGGTCTTAATAGTCTAGTCAAATGGTTCATAGCAGTAGTTATGACACTAATGCAAAAATCTAAAATTGCATATATATGATTTAGTATGTGTATGTGTGTAAATATATATGTATGATGTGATTTAGTTTATGGGGATACATAATTTTAACATTTATATAAGTATAATTGTATATATGTCTATAGACACGTACTGTAATGATATGTAGTTATATATATTTACCTACAGCTCTACATATAACTACATATATTTATATTACCATATATATATCTATATGTTTTTAAAAGTATATAAATATATACACAAGCTCTCTAAGGTCTGTCTCTTGCTCTGGTGCTACACTTCACCCTTCCACTTTGCCTTCCTTTTGGGCCCTCTGGGCAATAATTTTCTCTGCAGAAAGGGTCTATGCTGAGTCTTCAGCATCTGAAGTCCTGCCCTGGGAGCAGGAGTGTGATGATGGAGGTTTCATCCTCCTCTAGGATCCATTTTAAGTTATTTTTATGTTTTTTAACATGCTCCATACCATGCTTTTCTCTTTTTTTTTCTTCCCTGTCTGTATGCAGATCTGTTTTACAGCTGAACTTGTACTGCATGTGGTGTGCTTTGCATATGCAGATACTTGTTTCTTGTTCTCTTTGTGGCCCCAAAGTGGTTTGAGGCAGCTCCTAAGGTGCTGTTTCTATCAATTGTAGGCCACTGGTGAGGTGTTTGTAGCCCAGGGGCTCTGGGCTCACCCTGCACCTGAACTTTTACTGCACTAGAGGCCATGCCTGTATTGCTCCATCCATAGTTCAGCCTCCATACAATAACCATATCATAGCTATGTGTTGGTTACAAAAAACACATATAAAAATACTTGTCACAACATCCAACTGTAGAAAAGTAAGCAAAAGCTAAAACAACACTGCTATCAGGTACTTGCTCATGAGGTAATTGCTGTTTAAAGCTAAAGCCAATCTCCAAGCTGGCCAAGGCAAGCCTGAGCAAAGGAACATGACAGGTCCTGAGGCCCTGTTGTAGCTTGGCCTGACACCTGTGGCCTGGGGCAAGATGTGCCAGCTCCATGTTTACCAGGTTACAAAGCTGTGCACAATATTCATGTGTCCCATTGGTTTATACCCACCTCCAGGAAGTCTTTTAGGTCCAATGAAGATGCTTGATTTTCCCTTTTTTGAGGAAGGAAAACATTACTTGTGCCTATGTTTTCCTTAGGTAGCAATGAGGCAGATTGAGTGGAGCAACTCCTGAAATGCTCTTTTCTTCAGTTACTGAGCTTGGGTATTAATTTACCTACCAACCTTTTCACTCCTAGGAGAGATTTAGGCTCCAGATCACTGTTTCCACCTATTTCTGTAGCATTTATTTGCAGAAACTGCTTGCCAGTAAGTGTTCGTATTTGTCTCTGCTCAGGACAATGTTGGAAGAAGTCTTGGCATGGAATCGGTTTGAGATTGTCTCAGAGAGTAAGAAGTTACAGTAGAAACCCTGCAGAAACTTGTCATCTCAGAGGGAGAAAATACAGAGTTGTTTGGGTTGGAAGGGACCTTAAAGACCATCTAGTTCCAATCCCCCTGCCGTGGGCAGGGACACCTCCCACTGAACCATGTTGTTCAAAGCCCCAGCCTGGCCTTGAACACCTCCAGGGATGAAGCATCCACAACCTCCCTGAGCAACCTATGCCGGTGTCTCACCAACCTCATAGAGAAGAACTTTTTCCTAATTTCTAATCTAAATCTACCCTTTTCTAGTTTGAAGCCATTACCTCTTGTCCTGTTACTTCAAATCCTGGTAAAAAGTCTCTGCTGAGCTTTTTTGTAGCCCCCCTTCACATACTGAAAAGCCATAGTGAGGTCTCCCTAGAGCCTTCTCTTCTCCAGGCTGAACAACCCCAGCTCGCTCAGGCTGGCCCTACAGCAGAGAGGTTCCAGCCCTTGGATCCTCATCATGGCCTCCCCTAGACCTGATCCAGCAGGCCTATACCCCTCTTGTACTCGGGGTTCCAGAGCTGCATGCAGCACTCCAAAAACATCTTTCGGTACAGACTACATACATCTAAGTGTTTTGAAGAAGTACAGCTAATGAGACCTTACAGTTTGGTGGGACTTTACAATTTGGTTTGGTTTGGGTTTGGCTTGCTTTGTCTGGCCACTTTCTGAGCAAGTGGCTGGTTCGGTTCTTAGGTTATGAATGCCAAGTGTAAGATCGACCAGTACCGTTTATCTTTGCACCTGACAAGTGCTTGTGGCTGATTTGCCTGTTAAAAATGAAACAGTGTTTGGAAAGTTGCAGCATACCCAGATCCCAGCCCCTGTGGAGTTTGCACTGCAAAATCCTGTGCTGTTCCACTTCTCCTAAAATGTCAAAAGCTGACCGTGACGCTTTTGGAAGAGTTTCACGGGAGAAGCTGCTTAGCCATGCAACAAGAGGAGAGCTATCATCCTGGACCCATGTTTACTGGTGCAAATTTATTCAGTAGCCTGTGAATTGGGTGGCATTTGACATCTTAATTTGTTACCTGCTTGCGTATGTTCTAGTAAACACCAAAAATTGTAAATGAAATTGAGAGCTTTAGGCCTGGTCACCAAAGGGCCACTTTTACCAGTTCTGGCAAGCAGAGTTTCGCCTGCTTAGACAGGATAGTCCACTTTCCTGATGCTTCTTAATATAAAGGTTAAATAATGTGCAAGGTCCCTTCCAGCCCAGATATTCTATGATTCTATGAAATTAGTAGTTTTTCCCTCTAAAACTCTAAGGAGACTCATCCTTCAGAACACCCATTGTAAGAAAGCCTAAAAGCTTATTAACTTGCTTAAAGGGAAACATTCGTGTAACGCAAAGCAGTGGAACAAAAGTGTGTGTGTAGGTGCCTCAGAACTGTTGTGATAACATTTTATGTTTTTGTTTTATTACTAGTTCTGGACTGCTAGCCTTAGGAAAGCCCTTGGACAGAGAAAGCACTGACCGCTATATTCTGATTGTTACAGCCTCGGATGGCAGACCAGATGGGGTGAGTTTCCTGGGCAAGTTTAAGAAAATGAGCTCTTATGGGATGTACTTTGGCCCTTGGAGCAGTCTAACTGTGGTAGCTTTTGTATGGATCTTGATCAAATATATCTGTAATCTGCAACAATTTTCATTCATCTCCAAAAGGTTTGTGTAGATAAAGCTTGGGTATTGCTGGGGCCAAGTCCTTTGATCTTGAAGCTAAGTGACTTTGCTGCTTTTTGTTATTCTT